ACAGAAACATTGCCACCAGGGGTTGAATTTGACTCTTGTGTAAATACAACTAAAGGCAGACTAAGAAACAAAGAAATTCTGCCTGCCTAATAACAGGCTTATGACACAGAGGAGCGGTGGATCTCAGAGAACTTCAATACTGTCCTGATAATAACTTTAAATGTAAATTGATTAAATGCCCCAATCAAGAGACATACGGTAGATGAATGGATAAGAAAACATTACCCATATACCTGCTGTTCTGAGGAAACCCACCTCAGAACAAAGGACTCAAGCAGACTGATGGTGAAGGGATGAAAAATTTTTTTTTCAGGTGAATGGAAATGAAAAAAAGCGGGATAGCAATACTTATATCTGACAAATTAGGCTGTAAAGTGAAGGCTATATATAACAAGAGATAAGGAAGGCCACTTCATAATACTAAAGGGAGCAATTCAACAAGAAGATATAACTCTTCATAATGCACCCAATACAGGAACATATATGCACCTAATACAGGAGCACTCAAATACATAAAAGAACTTCTGGAGGATATCAAGAAAGATATTGACAGCAATACAGTCATAGTAGGGGACTTTAATACCACAGTAGCATCATATCCTCTAAAGAAAAAAATCAGCAAAAAAAAAATCAATCCTAAATGACTTACTAGATCAGATGGAATTAATTGACACCTTCAGAACATTTCACCCCAAAGCCACAGAATATACATTCTTCTCAAGTGCACATGGGTTATATTCAAAGACAGACCACATATTGGAACACAGGCAAAATATCTTCAAATTCAAGAAGATATAAATCATATCAAGCATCTTCTCAGATTACAATGGCATAAAACTATAAACCAACTACAATAAAAAAAAAAAAATCAAACACCTGGATGCTAAGTAGCATGCTATTAAACAATGATTGGGTTACCAAAGAGATCACAGAAGAAATAAAAAGCATCATGGCAACAAACAACAATGAAAATACAACAATCCAAAATCTATGGGACACAATGAAAGCAGTCTTGAGAAAAAAGTTCATAGCTCTACAGGCCTACCCCCAAAAACAAAAAATAATGTAATAAATAATCTAACCCTAAAACTCCCCACAACTCAAAGAGTTAGAAATAGAGCAACAAGAAAAGCCCAGTGTAAGCAGAAGGAATAAAATAATAAAAATCAGAGCAGATATAAATGACATAGAGAAAAATATACAAAAGATCAACAAAACCAAGAGCTGGTTCTTAGAAAGGATAAACAAGATTGATGAATCTCTAGCCAGGCTCACCAAGAAGCAAAGAGAGTGGACCCAAATAAACAAAATCAGAAATGAAAGTAATAACCGATCCCACAGAAATAAAAATGACTATGAAAAAAATACTATGTACAACTCTATTCCAACAAAATGCACAACTTAGATGAAATGGACATATTTTTAGAAAAATAAAAGCTCCCAAAACTCATCCAAGAAGAATAAAAAAACCTGAATAGGCTGATAACTACTGAAGAAATTGAAATAGCAATAAGTAATCTTCCAGCAAACAAAAGCCCTAGTCTGGATGGGCTTTAAAAGAGAGTTCTACAAACCATTCATTGAAGAACTAAAGCTACCTCCTGCACTGCTTGTGAGGATGCAAATGGTGCAGCCACTGTGGAAGACAGTATGGAGTTTCCTCAGAAAGTTGAGAATGGAACTCCAATTTGACCCAGTAATTCCACTTCTAAGACTATATTCTAAGAAACCAGAAATACCAATCAGAAAGTATATATGCATCCCTGTGTTCATAGCAGCACAATTTACCAAAGCTATAATTTGGAAACAACCTAAGTGCCCATCAGCAGATGAGTGGATTAAAACACTATGGTACATTTACTCAATGGAATACTATGCTGCCATATAAAATAAGGAACTTCATCATTTTCAACAGCATGGATGGTACTAGAAAGCATTATACTAAGTGAAATAAATTAGTAAGAGAAAGATAAATATCACATGATCTCACTCATATGTGGAATACACTGATCAACAAAATTTGATGAACAAGAATAGATCCAGAGACAAATGGTAGGGGATGGTGGTAGGTTAGAGAGCAACCAAAGAACTTGTATGCATATATATTAGCATAACCAATGGACACAGACACTGCGGTGGTGGGGGCTTGCCTGGAGTAGAAATGTCTGGGGGAGAGGGGAGTCAATTGGGGGAAAAAGAGACATGTGTAAAACTTTAGATAATAAATAAAAAATAGCAAATAATTTTAAAAAGGAATAGAAAGAAGAATTATCCTTTTTTAATGTCACTATTTTAACAAAATGCATTTACAATTATTTTATTAAACAATCATTTTTTACATGTCATCACACCTTACCCCTGAAGTGCAAACAACAGTCTGAGGTATTAAAACTGAAGGAACATTTGCACATATTCTGTAAGGTTTCCACACTATAGTAACCAGAATAGTTAGTATAGCTACATACTACATGTAACAGCAGGTTTATAAGAACAAAGATATATAAAACAGTTCCACTTTATGCAGAAAGGGTGGCAAAAAATAATATGAGATTTAAGTTGCTTGAAAAATGTTATGCCCGTTATTCAGTTTTACAATATGGTGTACATAAGTTAAAAGGTCAATAGCTGAAACAGTAGCCATACTAAAACACAAAAATCAAACTGACAAACTAGTGGCAATGATATTATGTCCTATTCGTAGGATTTAATCCTCAGGCCAATGGCAATTCACTTAAAGTATCTGAAATAGAGGTTTTCCAGAATATTTCTCTATGATCTACATCCACTTAGGGTCACATAAGTACCATTGTCCATATTTTTCTTTTTGCACAATTTTTCCCTTTATATTAGAAAATAAATTTGCTAACACAGATATAATTCAGAAAGTCACATCAAAGGTGTTGTGAAGAATTACAGAGAAGATTTGCTTTTTAAGTAGTAGACTTAATATTGAAAAAATTATCCAGAGATTTTTCAGATCTCATGTCAATCTGATTATGCCTATAACTTGAAATAGAAAGTTGAGACCTTTATATAGCTAAATATTGTAATATAAACACTTCTGAACTATTCAGGTAAATTGAAAGAAAAGCACTTTTTTTATTTGATGATTTATTTAATTATTAATTTAAGAGTGTCAGTACTTACAGACTGTCTCATGACTAAGAGGAGGTGGTGGCTAGATAACAAAGGTGAAGGGATTAGCCAAAGAACATATATGTATCCCAGGGACACAGACAATAATTTAGTGAAGGTCAACGTAGGAGACATGGAGGTGGGTGGAAGTAGGCAAAGAGGGTGAAAAGGGAAGAAACCTGCCATAGTGTCAACATTAAAAAATGCTAATAAAAAAACAACCAAAAAATACAGATCCTTTATTTGAGTCAAATCTAAATTTCGTAGTGACTCGCATGTAGTATAGTAATTTAAGTACTGAAAAATGGGTCACAGATGTTGAATAGAAATTAGTTTCTTCAAAAATTTTTATAGTTAACACAGCATTTCTAGGTTTTGATGTTCGTTACTGAATTATTTTATTTGTTCAATTGTATGGATAGCTTGAAAAAAGGGAAGGTTGTTTTGTTTTGGTTTTGGGTTTGTTTTTTTTTTTTTTGGGGGGGGGGTTGTGTGTTTTCTTCTTATAAGAACAGAGACTGCTTAAAACTTGGCTTTTTAAAAGTTTAGCAAAACTGGCTCTAACCGATTTGGCTCAGTGGATAAAGTGTCGGCCTGAGGACTGAAGGGTCCCAGTTTGATTCTGGTCAAGGGCATGTACCTTGGTTGTGGGCACATCCCCAGTAAGGGATATGCAGGAGGCAGCTGATGGATTTTTCTAACTCTCTATTCCTTTCCATTCCTCACTGTAAAAATCAATAAAATATAATTTTAAAACTTTAGCAAAACTGTAAAGTGTCCAATGCTTCTTGCAGCTTATTATTAGGAGAAAATACTGTTAATTCTATAGCAATTATGACACTTTTAAAAAGACATTTTTAAAATAAAGCCTCCTCCACAGTTTTGTCAGCATTAGAAATTTGTGGGAAAGAAACATATTTTTTGGAGATTCCAACAAAGATATGCAAAATATATTTAACCTATTTTCACTTTGATCTAGGAGAGAAATAAAAGGACCTAGATCGTTAAAATCCCACATAGGAACATTCTGCTTATATTTGGGGACTAGGTCCTCTTCCCACAACTACAGCTTGCTTTCTCAAATAATGGTTCTTGAGTTAAAAGTAATCTTTGCAGTTGTCTCACTGCTGGAAGCACAGCTGCTGGAGAAGAGCCAACACATGCTGACTTGGGGAAACTGATCACAGCCAAAGGAATAATGGTCTATGGGCACTTAGTATCTTTCAGAGGTTGAAAAGTACTTTTACTGTTTGATCAGAAATGGATACCCCACAACTAGGTAAAAAAAAAAAAAGAAAAGAAACAAAAAGGTAAAGGGATTAAGAAAAAACAAAACACTCATAGACCCAGAAAAGAATATAGTGATTTCCAGTGGGAAAGAGAGGTGGAGGAAGTAGAAAAGGGTAAAGGGGGATAAACGGTGATGGAAGGAGACTAGATTAGGGGTGGTGAACACACAACACAATATACAGATAATGTACACCTGAAACCTATTTAATTTTATTAATGTCACCCCAATAAATTCAATACTTTTTTTAAAAAAAAGATACATTTCCCAAAGGTTTTTCTAGAAAATTAAAGTTGATTTGAGAAATCATCCCAAAAAACAGGAGGTCATAGAATGAGTAGTTAAATCTCAGATGTCTAAATTGGCCAATTCAATGAAAGTATATTCCCAAGTGAAATCATCTGGAATAAAACAAAAACAACTTTCGTTTCAGGACTGCAAATCTAAATGCCAGCACATTGAGTTTTAATGCTTATTGGGCAAAATGTAAAAAATTCATTTTTTTCTATTTCTATCTTTTATCTCTATAACCAATAATCAAAAGAAAATTGAAATAAAATAAAATATGACTTGTAAGATATAAATCCTGAATGTTATTTGCTTATTGTCAGTATAATCATTGGTGCCATACAAATATGGCTGACCACATCCATAAGAGACAACAGCAATATTATCAAAATTCTTTCACTAGCATCACGCTGAAGAGCTACACTGTGAAATCTACCAAACCTACAAATATCAAGTGCTGGCTCACATTCAATTCAGATGGAGCACAGACTGCAGTCACACAGTGAGCCTTCTCTCCAGAGCCAGAACCTGTTGCAGTCAGTCAAAGACTGGGTTCCTTATGCCATTCAACACCAAACTGTTGGGTGCCTTCTTGTGCAGAAGGGCCAGTGAGCACAGGAGTAGCGAAAAGCTCATGACGCCCAGAATGACCATTCCTGATATCAGTGCGCTGGTGACGGCATTCAGCTGGAATGGTGGTTGATTTGGAGAACCTGTAAGTAATAAGACAAACACAGTGGAAAGGCCCAATGTTAGATTCACATTACCTTATCCCTGCATATATGCAAGCATCTGCCATCGGTATCTTATAGAATAACAGCATGACACTAGATCAAGCAACAATCTATGTGACTATTTTAAAATGAAATAACCAAGGGTTTATATTGTTTCGAAGCTTGGTAGCCTCAGAGTATCAAAAAATAATAGTCATCTATAAATTCAACAAAACCTGACCAACAGGTTACAATAAATTCAGAAATCCTCAGTGAACTGTTACTTAAAAAGAAATAAACTTGTAATATATTTAGTTGATTATGAATTTGCAACTGATCACCAAAAAAAACTTTAAAATTTAAAAAATAATTTCAGTTTCAGTATATGTTAATTATCTTACCAAGCTGTGAGTTGTTGGTTGGAGTCTCATCTGGAAGGGGGGGAAAAAAAAAGAATAGCAATATTGGGTCTCCAAATATTTATCTATGTTTATTACAATTCTATAATTACTTTTTACCAACATGTCTCTTCACCTTCACCCACAAGCTCCATGGGGAAGGCAATCGGTAATAAAAATTCTCCTAAACCATTCTGCTTTCCAATTTTCCATCCCACATGTGAAAAATTTCATCATCTATCTGTTCCCCAAGCCCATACTCTGCCACAAATATAATTGCAAAATATACTGTTCTGTATTCTTTTCTGCCAGCTTTGTTTCATCATTATCTCTTTAGTCATGTTAGTGGGGGCAGTAATTGTTAACAGTTATTACATTTTTTATAGCCCTATAGCCTGCCATTTGTTATTCTGTTATAGAGAAATATTCATTATTTAGTGCTGCTCTATTTTAAGTGTTGCCAATTTGCCCATCGAAATCAGCAAAAGCATCATTTTACATTCCAAGAAGATAAATTCACACTTAATAATTAACTGAAAGGGAAACATGAAGTCTAAGCTTGAGTTGTAGGTTAATTTGCATCTGGGAAGCTGTTGATGTTTCACTTTTTTCTGGCAAACATAATAATACATGCAATGAACACATTCACTTGGCTTCACAATTTTTGTTACCTGTTTAGTAATCATATAGCAATTAACCCGTAAGCTTGTACAATGAGTGAACTTTGCATTTGTATTTAAATATGTGGTTGTGTGTGCATCTGTGACTGTTTGTTATTTGAACCATAAAATGAGTGCAGTTGACAGATTTTGGAGTATAAATATTATGACAATTAATGTGCAAGTAGTGCCATACAGTTTATAAAGTGCTGTTTTGTATGTTATCACATTTAATCCTCATAATAGCCATATGGATTAGATATGACTGCTACCCCCACTTTACAGATGAAGAAACTTCCATCTGTCACAGCCTCTTTGATAAAGTAAACATGTGTTTAAGCAAAAGCTCAGTTTCAGCCTCCTGTTTCTAAAATAATATAAACTATCCAAGTATGAAAAAATATTTTTAGTCAGAGATGAATATCTCAAACTACAAAACTCTAAGATCAGTATTTGAAATCATTGATGGGAGAACTCGGTGAGATATTTATAAAACATCTGATGCCATTTCTTTTTAGACATGTGAGTCTTGGCAGAAATGATGGTTCCTCTGTTTGATCCCTGAAGAGCAATGCCCAAAATTAATAGAGCACACATTCTCAGGAATCTTTAGAATGGCGCGGTGCATTGCTACAGGACAAAAAGAAAAACAGCTCCAATTTTCCTTATAAGGCACCCTTAGGAAAATCCTAACCTCCAAGCAACACCATTTTATAGACACTTTCTTTTCGTGGAAAGAGATGGGATGAAGGAACTGTGATTAATTCATCCAAAAGGTCCACATGACTCTTTTCTGAAGACAAACTGCCTCCCTGGAACATGAAGAAGAATATATAAAACTCTAACATTTTTTCTAACAGTTATTCTTTGTTTAGAAATCAAACTCATTGGCTCTAAAACATGTTTCTGTTAAAAAAAACAGAAAGCTCCTTTCTCCTATATGACCCAAATTAGGCAAAAGTATCCCAACTATTTTCTGCACCCTTAGGTTAATAAGAAAAGTCAGAATATGCCCTCCTCTCCCACATTATCTCCAACATTTATGTAAGAACAATATCCCAGGTGTCACCCACAAAGGCTTGGCTATGAACAAAATCTCTGTGGGGACACAAGGCCACATGGGCTATACCAGCTCCAGGTTCAAGGACTCTGAAACCGGAAGCATCCTACGTTTGGCAGATGGCTGAAATCAAAGCATGTGATACTAGAACATTGTATGAAATTATATTTGATATTGGATAAGTGTAGAGAAAATAATTTAATCTGGCTGCTGTTTCTGATGCCCAGCAATATTAGTATCATTGTAATTTAAAAACAAAACAAAACAAAACAAAACAAAAAAACAGAAAAGAAATCAAAGCCCCATTGAGCCCAGAAAGGGGAAGTAGACATTTTCCAGAAAATGTTTGTCACCACACACTCCTGTGTATTTTTTTAAATTATGTTTCTATATTTTTGTTAATCCTCACTCAAGGATATTTTTAATTGATTGTTAGAGAGAGTGGAAGAAAGAATGTGTCTCTCCTCCTTTCTTCCACACAGAGAAAAACATGATGTAAGAGAGACACATCAATTAGTTGCCTCCCCCACATGCGGACCACCCTTTAGTCTCTGGGCCGATGCTCTATCCACTGAGCCAAACAGGCTAGGGCCACACTCCTGTTTTTTGTTTGTTTGTTTGTTTGTTTTTCATGTCTTCTTGTTCTTAATAGACATATCTGCCGAAATAGACCTTTGGAATTAGATCAGATTAAAATACTAAACTTGATGGGTTCTTCAAAAACACAATGTTAGCTGAGGACCAATAGGAGAAAAGTGGTCACAGCTGTTCCAAAGCCAGAAGTAGCAGATAACTTATTGTCTGCTTTTCTTTCATATAAGTAGTTGAAATAAATCGGGGGGAGGGGGGAGAACATTAGTAAAAAGATATATGCAAAATGAAGAGTTTTCTTTCTTAACACAAGCTATTTTTTAATATATATTTTATTGATTTCAGAGAGGAAGAGAAAAGGAGAGAGACAGAAACATCCATGAAAGAGGCACATCAATCAGCTGCCTGCTACACACCCTCCACTGGGAATCTAGCCTGCAACCTAGGCATGTGCCCTGACTGGGAATTGAATCTGGGACCTCTTGGTCCATGGAATGATGCTCAGTCCACTGAGCTATACCAACCAGGCACAAGCTATTAAAAAAATTTTTTTTCTATTACCTATATAGTAAAAGGAACCACATATATCAAGTTCAGAGCCTTCAAACTTTTTATTTTCCACCCTGTTATGTTTGTTCATAGTCTATCTCTACCTTTGAATTCTGAGATTACTGAGAGCAGACTGTGGCCTGTTTTATATTGTATTCTAAATTTCAACCAGAGTGCCTATCCCTTATAGGGGCTAAATAAATTCACTTGGGTGAATTATTAGTTACCAAAAATACTCAATGATACTAGTTGAACAAGAGTTTGTCTTGGACTTCTCCCTTGGAATGTATGTAAACAGACTATATATTACTATTGTTTTTCAGTGATAATACCTTTAAATTTCCAGAATTGTACCCCATGATAAGCATTTTCCTATCAAATAGTTTAAATATTTGGGAGCTTAAAAGAATAACACTTCAGGACTTTTATAGATATTCGAATTTTGAGGATGTAAATATTTTCCTAAATCAACTAACAAAATGATATAACCAGAATGGATTTGATCTCATTAAAACACAAAACAAAACAAAAGTTCTAAGGTTTAACATCTTATTAAACTTGACTAAGCCAAATGTCTAGGGGAAAGGAGTGATTCAATGAGTAAAAAAGAGCAAAATTTCCAAGTATCAGAGAGGTTTGACCAGAGCAAATCAAGCCTGAAATTGGACTTCTCTCTATAAAATCGGCCACAGGATCTGGAGAAATGAATTCTAGCTGACATACGGTAAAAATAGAGTGAAACTAAGGAAAGAAGGTTGCCTTGGTCATTAAGCAGGACATTAAGTTTATATTGGATTTGCCTGTGGATGGATACAGCTTGATTTCCTAAATTCTGTGTTTACATGGAATTTAAAATATTATTTAGTAACTAAATACATTTTTAGGAGACCACCATGAGCACCCAAAATTGAGAAATGTCCTAATCTAAATTATTTAAAAAATAAATTCACAGAGAGTCAGAGAGGAGGAAGGGGATTGTAATGTTTGAACATAATCCTTTGGGAGCTTTGCCAGTGGAGAGCCCGAGGTGACTAAGAGACAACATCAGTGTGCTGGGAATAAATATCACCCATGAGGTAAAAACAAGTTGAATATAGAAAGGAAGAAATCTCGCATGACATTAGTGGTGTTGTGATTAAAGACATTAATTAGTTCGTTAAGTTTTTAACATAGATATTTTGGATGACTAGATATGATGTAGGTGAAACCTACAAACCTGAATCGCTGGTTAGCTATTTAGAAACTTCTACTTGCCAATCTGTAGAAATTTTGGTGTTTTTAAAAATTATTTTACTCTAGCTAATTATTTGAAATGTGTAATATTTAAATTACAGAATAAATTAATTGAATTTGGTTCCAGTAAAAACAAAGACAAGGAGGTTAACAAGAAGAAAAGCCATCTATTCACCTTTCAAGGTTCTTTCCTCAGAGCAAACTGACACTAACCACACTCTATAGAAATAAAAACATTTTTATTGTACCAACCCCAAAGCATTCCTAATCATTGGCAACAAGAGCTGAGTTTCCATGCAGTGTGATTCTAGAAGCTATTTCAGACAGCTAAGTTGAGATAAGATTTGGGCCTTTTATAAGCCACTAACTAGTTACTTTCAAACCATTCAAAACACATACCAAACCCTCAGGAGTGTGGACTAAGTTTGAAATTTTATATTTAATAAATGTCTGTATTATTTAAAAGGTCTATTAGGTGTTTTTTTGTTGTTGTTGGTTTTTTGTTGTTGTTGTTGTTTTATGCTATGTTGATACAAACATAGGGGAGTGAATAAAACAATTGTCTGGATTTTTCAGGCCCAAACCACTTTTTGCTTAATCACCTATTTCAGGTAAAACATTTTTCACTGTGGGATGGAAGAAAAGGTAAAGATAATCTAATTGAAATACAACATTAGACTTATGGCTAATATAAAATAGATAAAAATATTAAAATATAACCCAAGTCAGAATTCTGCTTTTTAAGACAAATTGAGAACTTATAGATTTAGAAATAATTTTTAAGGGTATTTTTCAAAACCTTTATTTAAAACAATGGAGAAACAGCTACCCACAGAACTGAGATAAAATTCAATCCCAAATCACAAATCTTGTCAGGGCAAAAGATGGAACTATCTAGTTTTTTGGTGTTTGTTCTTTTAAGTTAAAATTTAATTTGTTTTGTTTACACTGCATGTCTGTTTTATCCTGGATGTCTTTGGTTTCATGCCGATATAAAGCAATATCACTTGAGAGAGAGAGAAAGCATACACATACACAAATATTGTATTTTGCATATATGAGGATATATGTGTATGAACACTTGTGTACATAGATTCATGAGTATGGAAGAGTACATTAGATGGGGTTATGTAATATTCAAGATCCTTGGAGGGGAAAAAAAAGGGTATGCAAACTGGGCAATTTAAGGAGAATTTAATAGGACAATTAATAAAAATATAGGGAATTCACAAGAGAAAGTAAAGCTAATCCAGCAATGGGTGAAGGAGAAGGACCAGCTCTGAGACCAGCTCTGTGGAGAGAGTTGTCTGGCAGGAGCTGGGTGGACTTCATTCCCATTCTCTGACAGCGCCACCTATTGGCCAAGCCCAACCAAAAACTGGATGGCAAGGCTGCCTATAGACCAAGTTCACACAGGTCTATCAGGGGCAGAGGGCAGGGTGGGAAAAGTGGAGTGAATTGGGAAGGGCAAGTGAAACTGTCCAGGATAGTATACTTTCTCTCTCTCTCTCTCTCTCTCTCTCTCTCTCTCTCTCTCTCTCTCTCTCTCTCTCTCTCTCTCTCTCTCTCTCTCTCTCTCTCTTTTCTCTCTCCTCTAGGTAAAAGGAAATGTGATCAAGCCAATATTGCCCTTTGTATAAGCTGAGTAAACAGGAAACTACTGTGAAATTAAAGTTGTTTAGCAGTTTATCTTGTCTTACAGTTAATTAGCGCTCTTTAGGAACCACTTTGTGTTCTCCTTAGAAGCCAACTAACAAGCCATTTTGGACTATTACTACACACAAAAGGAGGGGCGCTCTTACCACTCCGGGTAATGATGGGCCCCGCAGAGAGGATGGCATTTCCAGAAGTGCTCTGGGGGCTCCACGTGGTCCTCCTCCCTGCGTCTCTCCTCTCTCTGTGGCTGCAACTCTGAGGAGTTAATGAAAACAAATGAAACTCCACACTGGCACAAAATGGTTTCTTTATGGCCATTGGGAAAGTAGATTCTTTTGGAAGAGATACCACATGTTTAATTTTATTCATTTACTTCTGTGCATTTATTTACTTTACATATAACTGCTACAGTGTTTCTTATCCTGGCTTGGGCCACATTTCTTATTTCCTCCCGTTATAGTGGTGCATTGCCTCATTAATTTACACAGCCCAGTGGCTCTCCTGAAAAAAAAAGAGCTGTGTTTATCAAACTTTCCCTCTTTTATTTCTCTCAAGCCTTTAATAAATCTTTCCTGAAATGTTGGTCAGCACAGAGCCAAGGTAATGTGGACTCTCCATTTAACCCCATCTGATATAGCTAGTTAGAACTAAGCTAGTCTATAACAATAAAGAAAATCATGAATTTGAACATAAATATAAACATAATAAAGTCATTTCATGTTTATAAAATGTGCCTATATTTTCCTCAGATTAATATTGACATGACCCTAGAAGGTCTGTCAACAATGGAAATTTTTTTTATTCAATAGTAAATGGGTCTATAGTTTATGTGATGGCTTTCAGCTATTCAGAGTCTCACCTTTTACAGCTTTTAATTTTTAATCCAAGGGATTCCTAGGCCATCTGGGCAATCTCCCTTTCTAGTGCCAGTCCTGCCCCCTCCCCTGGTTTTCCTTCACCTTCCACTCTGCTCCACAGCCTTACTGTGGGACTGGAGGTTCCCTGGCTACTCTGTTTCAGTGTTTGTGACTTTGACCTTTCTTTGGCATGAAGTGTCTTTTGCAGTCTTGGTTTATTTTTTCCTTTTGGGTCCATCCATCTTCTGGCACAGCTCAAGGTTCATCTCTTCCACCAACCATCCTAATATCTTCTTCGTCTCCCTCACAATGATGGGTGCTGCCTCTTACTACAGCCCATATCTATATCTGCCTTGTGCCATAACATTTTTTTCTTGTTTCATTTCATGACTATTTCTGCTACTAAAGGACGAGCTTACTGAGTTCAGAATTCATGCATGCATCTCTGTATTCCCAGTACAATGCTAGGCACAAAGTCGGCATTCAATAGATCTCTACTGGATGAATGAATAAATCCTACTGCAAACAGTTTGACCTGGTGCACATCCACTCTCACTATAGAAATTAGTAAGCTTAAATCAATTTGACAATTTAGACTAAAGTTGCTAAGAAACATACAGGCATAAGGAAGGGGCAGTCATCAGCTCTGCAGAGCTTGGTCACGCAGTGCAGGAAGACGGTGGACATTTTCTGATTCTTGTGCTTCACAAATCGGAACACTTCAAAGGAGAACCGGCCCTGCTGACTTCTGCCGTTTTCAATGACCGTGGTCTGCGGGTCTTTGTCGCAGCTGCATTGTAGGGAATGTGAAAACAGGATGTTATTGGAAATTACCAGCCCATTGGGACTTGTAAATAAATCTCTGCAGTCTTAAAAAGTACCCTACTACATTAAGAGCTAACAAAATCATGCCATGCTAGAGACATTTAATAAGAGAATAAGCTAGCTCAACAGATGTGATAAGAATGACTTTGATCATAGAACATAAATAGATCAGTTCCTGATTATGATATTACTGTCAATTTTTAGAGGCAATTTCACATGGTAACAATAAAAAATATTATATATATATATATATATATATATATATCCTCCCATCTTTGACCCTGTCCATACTAATCACACAGTCACATCCACATAGAAATCTGCCTGAGGTGATCCCACTTGCCTTGTGTTCTCCAAGGAATGTACAAAAAAAAAGCACAAGCAACATATTCTTATTGTTCCTTCCTTCTTGCACAAGCTGTAGCACAATCTATATGTTTGGACCTTGCTTTTTTTTTTTTTTAACTTAGCAATGTACCATAAAAGATCGTTCCATATCAATACTTAGTGAGCCTCCTCGTTCTTTATCCACAGCTGTATAGTATTCCACTTGACAGAGTTTATTTAGTTACCTAATTGTGTATCCTTAAGTATTTTGCTTTTTACAAACAGAATAAATAATAGGTTGCCTTTATAATGCAGCATTTTGAACATGTGCAGGGTATTTATGCAATATATCTGTGAGATTAATTGATAGAGTTTGCTACATTGCCCTCTATAAATATTGTTACATTTTTGTACTTCCTCAGTAATATATGAAAAAAAAAAAATCCCCATTTTCCTCCAGAGCTACAGGAACAATGCCTATGGGGAAAAAATGCTTGGATTGTCCCCTATTTGATAGGAAAAATAAACTACTACCATATGATTATTATTTACATTTTTTGTATGCGTTAGAGCCACATTGTGTTTCTTAATCTGAAAACTGCTTATGTCCTTTGCCCACATTTCTATTTTTGGCCTTTCCATTCTGATTCCTACAAGTTCTTTATATGTTCGGAAGAGGGCATTCTTTCATCTTTTATAAGTTGCATATCGTTTTAATTTGTTGTTTGGCTTTGGACATTCCTCACAGTTTGAGTATGTGTGTGTGTGTGTGTGTGTGTGTGTGTGTGTGTGTGTGTGTGTGTCTGCATGTGAGCACACATACACACTTTTATTTTTATGTTATATTTTCAATATTTTCTTTTATAGTGTCTCATATTTGGGTTGAAGACAGAATTTCCATATTCCAAAGTTTTAAAATATTTCTTATGTTAATATATTTTTCAACCACTTTTAAAGGTGTAGTTTTTATACTTAAGTTGATAATCTGTGTAAAGTTTATTATGGTGTATTGAGTGAAGTATACAATAGATCCAGTACTACATTTTCTCATGGTTATCCATTATCCAGCACTATTTTAAAAACCTCTGTTTAACCCACTGCTTTGTGATATCACAGCCTACCATATAGCAAATTCCTACATTTTGGAACTATTTCTCAGCTTATGTGTCTAGTCTTACATAGTATCACATTTATTTAATATTTTTAGAGTTTTTATTAACTACTAGTGGCCTGGTGCATGGAATTTCTGCACATGGGGTGGGGGGGGTGGTGTCCCTCAGCCTGGCCTGCACCCTCTCCAATCTGGGATCCCTCAAAGGATGTCCTATTGTCGGTTTACAGAGATTGGGCCTAAACTGGCAGTCAGACATCCTTCTCGCAATCTGGGTCTGCTGGCTCCTAACCATTCACCCGCCTGCCCACCTGATTGCCCTTAACCACTCTGCCTGCTAGCCTGCTCGCCCCCAAATGTCCCCCTGACAGCCTGATCACCCACAACTACCCCTCCTTGCTGGTCTGCTCACCCCCAACCTTCCTCCCTCACCAGCCTGATCGCCCCTAATGTCCTCCTCACCGGCCTGATCACCCACAACTGCCCTCCCCTCTTGGCCTCTAACTGCCTCTACCTCGGTCTCCCAGTCTAATTAGCATATTATCTTTTTACTAGTTAGATAGAGGCCTGGTGCAAGGATGGGGGCTGGTTGGTTTGTCTTGAAGGGTACCCCAGATCAAGGTGGGGGTTCCCTTGGGGAATGGGGCAGCCTAGGCAAGGGGCCTGTGGTGGTTTGCAGGCTGGCTATACCCCCTTCAGGGTGGGGAGTCCCTGCTGAGGTGCCTGGCCAGCCTGGGTGAGGGGCTGATGGCTGTTTTCCCAGCCCCTCCTTGAGTGGAGGCCAGGGCAGATGGGAAGCTTGACTTCCTCCATCACCATGGGCAACCCAAGCCTCCTGCTCACTCTAGCTCCATGGCTGCTGCCATCTTTGTTGGGTTAATTTGCATACTCACTCCTGATTGGCTGGTGGGCATAGCGGAGGGATGGTCAATTTGCATATTTCTCTTTTATTAATGTAGATAATATCTAGTAGGGCTATACCTTCATTTCCATGTTTTTTATTATTGTTTTTATGAAGTTGTACTTTATCACTTTTTTCTTGATTTGAGTACCTTGTACTCTATTTTATGTTTTTTTTAAATAACTTAATTATTCCTTATATTTTCTAAAATGTTGATTCATAATTCCATTTCTGATCCAAATGTTATTTAAAAGTTTTAAACTTCCAAGTGGTAGTGATTTTCTATTTCCTGATATTGTTTTAAATTGCTAGCTATCAATAAATAGTTTATTTATTATGTCACTTAAACTTCTATATCCTTATTTAATTATCAGCCACCAGAACTAAGTTTCCTGAGAGTTAGTAATTAATCTTCACTTTTATTATATTTCTGACTATGTCCCTCCAGTTTCCATTTTGTGAAAGCTTCAATATTATTCAATGTCCTTTCATTATGTTGGTACAGATTTCTTTAATTTAGGAGAATATTCTTGAGCTATATTTTTAAATATTTGTTTTATTCTATTATGTTGGTTTCTTTGGGGGATTCCAATTATGCATATTTACATGAATTTAGTTCCTTTTGCCATTTATTATTTCTATTGTTTCTACTCTAACCTTTTTATTGTCTCCTTCACATTTGTTTCTTTTTAATTGAATTTCTTATTTTTATTTTCCATGTCCCACACTATACTGTCTGCTGTGTTATTTTCCTTTGCACACCTTCTAATTATGTCCTCCATTTGGAATAGATTTTTTTTTTAATTTCATCTAAAATTCTCCCAATTCCCTTTTCACATTTTCATGACCTTAAATTTTACTGTTCTTCCTAACCTGAGTTCTTTTGATTGTATCTTCATAAATATAATTACTTCTTAAATTTTAAAACAAAATTATTGTTAGAATATTTGATTACAAATCTATGTGTTTCATGGCAACATTTATTATTATTATATTTTAATCATCACCAAGGATATGTTGAGAGAAAGAGAAAGAGAGATATATCAATGTGAGAAACATTGGTTGATTGCCTCCACTATACAATTGGACTGGGGATAGAACCCACAACCTTTTGGTGTATGGGATGGCATTCCAACCAATTGAGCTACCCACCAGCACTTGAAAATATTTTTCCTAATGAGTTTAATTCATCCTTAACAATTTTTTTCTGACAGTTTTGCATTTCTTTTGTAGTATATAGGTACATTGTCAGAAATGCCTTAATCTATCGAGATATATATACATATATATATATATAAAATCATCGCAACTGAAATAACCAAATGGATGATTGAACAGACTGCTTGGGGCAACCAGGTTGGTAGGGGTATTAGTGAGGGATGACCAAATGACTAAACAAGCAAGCTGTATGGGGCAACCAGGCCAGCAGGGGGTTAGTGAGAACCAACTAAATGACTGAGCAGTGGCTGTGTGGGGTGACCAGGCTGGCTGGAGGGAGGGGAGGAAATGAGGAGTGACCAGGATAGTGGAGGGGAAGTTGGGGGCAACCAGGCCAGCAGGGGAGGCAGTAAGGGGTGACCAGGCAGGCAAGCAGGTGAGCAGTTAGGAGCCAGTGGTCCCAGATTGTGAGAGGGATTTCCTACTGCCAGTTTAGGCCTGATCCTCAGGATCAAGGAAAGGGGACTGCCCTCATCCATGAATTTCATGCACTGGGCCTCTAATTCATATATGAAAGAGTTGGATATCCCCAGACTTGTTTGTTTATTTGTTTGTTTCATTTTTACCTTGGGGACTCATAGGGTAATGTAGAATATTAATGACCTTCCTCAAGGGTTTCCCCAATTCATGGGCTCTAACAGGCAATTTTTTTTTAAATAATGTAAATGTGCAGCTAAGTTTTCTCTTCCCTTTGTTTCTCAAGTTTATTCATAAGAATATTCCACCATTTTCTCTTAATCTTAACTGCTTTTATTAGCACTATCATATTTTGGGTTTTCTATGGGCTTTCTTTCCTCCTAGTTTTACTGAAAATGGCATTTTGGAAATTTCTCTTAGTTACTCACCACACTCTTCTATAGTTTCCAACATGAAAATTGAAAAGTTTGAGAACTAAGCTGAAGCCAGGGTCATACCAGATAGAAGTCTGATAATTGTATTCTACATTGGCAATTTGTGATTATTATAGACGTTTTGGAAAAAGGAAAATGTCAGAACAAAATTATCCACAATTTCATCATGCATTAGTAATCTCCATGAAACATTTTATGTATTTCCTTACAGTCCTTTCTATCATATTTAACATAATGAAGTTATCTGTACATATAATCAGATATGATTCTTTCACTTTATACTTAATACATTTAAATTTTAAGAACTATATATTTCAAATACAGAAACACCAAGAAGATGGAAAGGGAGAAAGTAAAATACAACCAATCATTTTTTTTTTCTATTTTACAAATAATTACATGATTGCAGTGCCTGGGTGAGCTCTCAATTTACTGGATCTCTGTAATTCACCTAGCCATTTCCTCATTGCTGAACATCCAGTTTGTTCCCATGTTTACCATTTTAAATAGCACTGATAGACTAGAAAATTATCAATATTTTAGAATATGCTTCCCAATTTGTAAACATAAAGTCAAAGAACATGAAATCTTTTAAGGATTTTGATAACCTTTCTCAAAAATATTGCCTAAATTAACACTTCCAGCAATACAATATAATTATCAGTTTGACCATAACCTCTGAACATCATCTTCACCTTGATTAGCCATTAAAATAGATTCTTTTGGTTTCTCATCATATTACTCCCATCGTGTGTCAATAAGCAGCACTGATCTGAGCCAAGTGCATTTTGTAAGGATGATTAGAAGCCATTGCTTGACTCTCAAGTCTGTTCTGCTATCAGATAAAAATGCTGAAAGGGAACTGAAATGATTGAATGTTTTTATGATCAATGTCCCCTTTCCCAAATTTAGATTACATTCACTCTATCACTGTCTATTGGGGAATGAAGTTGAAGTTACTGGCTCTAATCAAAAAAAATGAATAAGAGGCTATTTTATACTTTTATATTAAATATTGATAAATGGAGAAAAGCATTTTGGGGTCTAAATTATCTAGACCATTACTTTAACTTTACTCTCCTTTTGACTTGCGAAGAGTCAAGTGTAGCTGTGAATATATAGTACCCTCCCATTGGCTTTCTCTTATTGACAATAGTAGCCTAGCCATGCTTTTGCTAAGACAGTGAAATATTCTCATATATCCTACACATGAATAAAGCATCTTTGATGAACCTAACTTACTTGCAACTCTCATTCAACAATAGCCTCATCAGCATTTCCTGCTAAAAACTGGTCTCAACTTTTATACTTTCAGCTTTATAAGGAATAAAAGATCAAAATGTAAAACTTTACATTTAAAAACTATAAAAGTATCCTATAATTTATATCAATGGCTTGTATTTTCCAATTCAATTATCTACAATTTAGTTTTTGCTATCAATGCAGGACTTTAGACACCTACCTAAGGAAGAGATCGTACCGAATATCATCATTTGGATTCCCTGATGGGGTTGTGTAGCAATAATCCATTAAGACATTCCATCTGCAGGAAGAGGCAAACAAAATCTAGAGTCACAGCTCCTTTGGGTAAGGCAAGTAAATATTGACAACTGTCTTACCCCATGAAATATAGTTTTTTGTTAGTTATTTGCAGAAGATTCTTATTGATTAAGACATTCTCCTAAACTCAAAGGTGTTTTAAAATCTGTAATAAGTTGCCATCCTACACCAAATGGCTGTGTGTACAAGGCAACTGAACGGTCAAAGCCTGAGGAAACAAAACCCAAAAGTGAGCTGCATAGATGCTCCTAAGTTCACTGTGAAGAATGGTAGTTTGTTTCCAAAAGTTACTGTCTCTAACAGAGGACAAGAATATTACAATGCCACATACAGCAAAGGAGTTCGGTGTGTAAATTACACGCTCTACATTATGCCAGAATCAGTGGTGATGGATAGTAGAAAGCCATGAGGCAAAGATATGGCCTTCCTCCACAAAGCCAGACTATGCCTACATTTATACATTACTTCATTTCTACTCTGGTTTTATAAAAATTACTAGTCCATGGAAATTGAATGCCAATAAAAGAAGACACACAGCCGAAACCGGTTTGGCTCAGTGGTAGAGCACCGGTCTGCGGACTGAAAGGTCCCAGGTTCGATTCTGGTTAGGGGCATGTACATTGGTTGCGGTCACATCCCCGGTGGGGGGTGTGCAGGAGGCAGCTGGTCAATGTTTCTCTCTCATCAACGTTTCTAGCTCTCTATCTCTCTCCCTTCCTCTCTGTAAAAAATCAATAAAATATGTTTTAAAAAAAAAAGAAGACAGAGAGAAACTAATGTAGAACCAAATTTCTAAAGTATAATAATATCTTCAGGATACAAAGTTTAAGTAATAATATGTGAGAAACCCAAAATAAGACATTTACATATTAAATTTTTATAGGAGAGGATTGGATCTTTAGTGTTTGAATTCTCTTTGAATTTTGATCATTCTAAATTTCCTAAGTATCATATGGAAATGGAATGATTTTTTTGGTGGTTTTTCTTTACATAGATGTTTCTGAGGATTATTTTATACAAATTTGGTCAAGATTCTTGTGAGGAGAGTTCTTTAATTTTTCAATAAACCCTTTTAATTGAATAGTAACATAGTACAAATAGAAAAGCACACAAATCATAAGTTTTCACAAAATGATAGCATCTGATTAATCATCTTTCAGGAGGAAAAAAAAATACACACCAAAAACAGAATATTCTGGCATCTCAGATTTCCCATTCCCTCTTCCAGTCACTACCTCTCCTTCTTTATAGGAAGACTTGTTGTTTTTCCAATTAATGACATAAAATGAGTGTTACCCCTTAATCTTTGTAATTTGTTATTTCTGTTTAGTAGCATGATCAAACATTGTGGCAATGACAGTACTTTTGAAATTGAAAGGAATGAGTTAACTTTGTGATTCATGAAGTTTTGCTGATTCATAAAACAGCAAAAATGTTTTAACCAGCAAAAGATAAGAGTGTGACAGTACCTGCCATCCAGATTAGTGGCTTGCACAGCTGCAAATACTTTGGTTTTTAAAGGCAATCCTATACTCGGGATAATTAACTGTTGACTGTAGGTTGAATCCTAATGATGAAAAAAATAAACAATACATTATTGCCTTTCTAACAACAGTATATTTACCATTTAAAACAGTAATGCCATCCAAAAGGGGACAAATCAATGTATACCTACCAAACCAACTCCAAAAAGGACCTAGTTAATCTCCTAGTTCTTGTCAAAACTGTCCTAAACCATATCCAAGTAACAAACTCTTTTCCATGCATAAATCTTTTTTCCCTAGTTTACAATATATGAGATAAGTGAATTTAAATTATACTTAATTGTTAATAGTTAATGGTTAATATTTTGTTTGTTTCATATTCAATTATTAATATTCAGTTTACTTAAACTAATATTTCATTTATTTAAAAAGTTTATTTAAATTATATCTGCTTTAGTTTAAGCCCTTTGCCATGGGGATTGAATGTCTCTATACACTGGAAAATATTTACCTAAAATCACTATTCTGACAATTTCAAATTACTAAATTTAATAGAACCCCCTCCCCCCAAAAAAAGAGAGAGAGACCAACATGTTCTCCAAGTTACCAAAATGCCTGACCTATAGTTGTAAACTGTCAAATCATTTTGTCTGGAGGTAAATTATTTCTCTCAAATTCAGTAACTCTGAAGTTATTGTTATTTTGTAGCAAAAATAATTTGTAAATATTCATTATGCAATTTCAAAGTTATCAAGCAAGCAAGAAAAAATACAGAGCACATGTTTTAAAAGGCTGGAAAAAAAAGCAACAGATTTTGAATTTTTAAAATTAAAACAGTAATAGTTTATATGTTTAACTTTTTAAAAAGTTATAATCATGTGGAATATTATTTCATTCCCAAATAAGCTGGATAAATGAAAGATTATGCGCTGTACTTATTTTCTTTATTTCTGTGCTAAATGATAATAGCTCCTCTAGCCATTTCAGATAGGTAGTATTTTTATTTAATGATATTTCTGACTCCCTGTAGGGACAAAAAAAGACTTTTCCTTTTCTTTGTTGTGGCCTTCCACAATTTATGAAAAACACCTGGTAACTAAACCCATGATTGTTAGCTCCTCAATTCATACTGTGCTACAAGTTAAGTTATTCTCTCTCTTTTTTAAAAAAAATATATTTTATTGATTTTGTACAGAGAGGAAGGGAGAGAGATAGAGTTAGAAACATCAGTGAGAGAGAGTCATTGATCAGCTGCCTCTTGCACACCCCCTACTGGGGATATGCCTGCAACCAAGGTACATGCCCTTGACTGGAATCGAATCCAGGTCCCTTCAGTCCCCAAGACGACGCTCTATCCATTGAGCCAAACAGGTTTCAGCAAGATAAGTTATTCTCAAGGCTACATTCTTGCACCCCCTCCCCCTGCTGTTTCCACAGCACAAGGATAATTCATACCAAGTAGTCTCGATCTCTACTTAGTAGAAAGTTCCCCTATTCTCCTTTCCTTTAAACAAGCCTCTTTTAAATTATTTATAACTTTTTATCTAAGCTTGTTTTACAGATTTGGGAGAAATACTGATATGATACCCTCCTAGGACATCTGATACTATCTCCTAGAAAGCAAACAAATGGTAACTTTTCAAGACAACCCCTGGTATCTGCTCAACTTACACAGAATCCCCCTTCCTTCCTTGCTTAGTAACAGCCACTGCCTAAAAGAGTAGGCCACCCTCTCTTCCCTGAGCTGTACTGACTAGCAAGACCTGGCCCTTTTCTATCCTGGAAAGTAAAATAAACTTTCTCTCTACATCTGTTCTTTCAGTTGGGAATTCTTTCACCGTCCTTGTCACTTACTGGCCAAATCCTAAACCCTCCCTTTTCCAGCTTTCAAATATTTTTTTCCTAACTATTCAGCACTTTTCTCTTATATTTGCATCAATATTGCCCAGAAGAAACTTACTTCTTTACAAATATTATACTGCAATGTCATTTGCAAATAATGTAGTTTAATCATGAGTCGTCACTTTTTTTTTTTCCTCCTAAAATTGCTTCTAAAAGATAGTTCTCTATTTTGGATAGTTGCCTTTACTCTTGTGAGTACAATATTGTCTCTAAAATAAATTACATTTATTTTAGTTTTTTATTCAATTTTTAAAAACATTCATTATTTCAGATTTACTATTTTTGTATTTGCTTATAAGACACCTAATAATTAGGTACAATTTAAATTCACAAGATCCTATTTTTGCAGGAGAAAAAACGATATACTTATATTGCACAGAAATAAGGTCACAGATCAACTCAAATTCACATATATGAAAATACGATAGTCGATATAGTCATTACTTTTTATAAATAATTTTTTCTAAGTAATATTTACTGAATCCCAGAACACATAGAAATAAACAATTGCACTGAATCCCAATTGGGTAGCATAAATTTCCTCTCGAAATGACTAACCAGAGAATAAGAGTAGTAAGTACATAATGTAATTTTTCATCATTTTTAAAGGTTAGAAATAAGAGCCTGCATGTGAAATAGGAAGATAGGACTCCTAATGGTTTTAAAATAATGTTTAATTTGAAGTGCTATAATAAAATTACATTTGGGTAGCAAAATGTTAGTGTTTCCAACAAGTAATAAATATGATTTGGGATTAATTAGTGAAAGTATAATAAAACATTTTTCTATTACAAATTACTAGCTTTTTGATGTCTTATAACTTGGCCAAATATTATTATAGTCCCATGTGTGTGTTTTTTCTATTTGTTTGTTAGTTTTTTAATTTTTTTAAAGTAATTTAGGGCCAGAAACTCTTGTGTAAAGGTAGACACATGTCAAAGATATTTGTCAAAACCCACAGAATATAGAACATTAAGAGTGAACATAAATGTGAACTATGGACTGCAGTTAATATTATGTCAATATTGCTTTATCAACTGTAATAAGCATTACCCAAAATAATAGAAGTTGGCTGCAGACAGAGGAGATCTGTGGGGATTCTTTGTACTTTCAGGGTCAGTTTATCTATAAACCTAAAGCTGCTCTTAAAATAGTCTGTTAATAAAATAAAATAAAAAATACGAGTTGTTTTTTTTGGGGGGGAAATGGTTGAACTCTATTAAATAACTGGTAATTAAATAAATTTTAAATTTAATTTTAATTCAATCATTAGTAATATTTTTATTGCAAAGTTATTAAAAATGAGAAGTATTCTGGCACTACCTATTATTTCACTGTAATCTGATATCCAACAATTCATTACCTTTTACCATGGAATTAAAATTTTAAGATTATCACTAAACTATAGGCTTTTGTTTAGCATTAAGATTGTAGAAACTCTCTAAAAAATCATATCTAGTTAGCAATGGTACTATTACATTATTTTTAATAATAAAGGGAAGGCTTTAACAGTAGTTTTCCTCAAATTATCATGTCTAAATTTTTATTTTCTGCTTTTCCAATGAGAAATAGTTTAATTCACAGGATATGCTATATAATAAAAGGGTAATGTGCAAATACACTGAACGATGGGACAACTGAACAATTGGTCACTATGATATGTGCTGACCACCAGGGGGCATGTGTGGAACATGGCTGATGTCAGCCACAGCAGGATGGTGGAGCAGGTGAGCAGGGGACTCCAGACCAAGGCGGGATGCTGGTCACTGTTATTAGGGTAAGCCTCTGGTAGTCACTGAAAATTCTTTGCTCCTGCATGCCGTGGTCCTGCATGGTGCTAGCACCTGCTGCCAGCACTGGAGCCACTGCTTGCACCTGCTGCTGGTGCCCAGCACCAGCCCTGATCTTTTGGCACCATCAGTAGGTGAAAGCAGTGGCTGATTACCCCAATTGCCCCTGAGGGCTTCTCCAACTCCTCCTGCTCCTGAGGGGCTATCGGGGCTGGCAGCTGCCACTAGCACCCACTGATGGTGCCAGCCCCAATCGCTCCACAATGTCAGTGAGTGCAAGGGGACTGGTGCAATCAGCACTTGCGAGGAGCAGCAGAGGGATTGAGGCTGCCAGAGGCCAAGACAGGAGGGGTTGGACAGGGGCGCAGAGGATGGGCTGAGACCCACCCCTATGCCCACTGCAGCCTTGCAGCCCACAGTTTCCTTTAAGGTTCATGAATTCATGCACTGGGCCCCTAGTATGGTTATAAAATGCCATGTGGATACATTTTTCACTTTTTTTAAGACAAGAAATTATCATTCTTGTTTCACTCAATTATAACAAATAATAGTGAATCCACACCAGTCGTTTGACACAAGGAGCTTATACATACAAATCAACAAAATAGAAACTTTTCAAATTAAAATATTGTTCACAATAATAATAAACATTTGGTCATATTGGGAATGGATATTGGCACATATTTACTGAAATTATATAACCAAGTAACTTAGCAGCCCCTTACACAAGAAAGTTTAGAAATGACAGAAAATCATACCAACAAAAGCAATCTTCATTCCAATAGATTTTAATTTGTTGTTTAGAACTCTGTGGTGTCAGACTACAAACTTATAAACATGATTTTTAAAATGCCTTTGGAAAATGTCCTACTACAATATTTATAGCTCATTATATTCAAAGTATAAAGCACTGACTTTTAAATCAGTTGTGTAAATTATAACTCAGTGCCATGATGACATGAATAATAATGTAAAAATCAGATTCATAATTTATAGAAATGTTGGTTGATAGATTGAAAAATTGATATTTAAATCAGGCATTTAAAATGTATGAATAAATTTTTTTAATCAACATGAAAATATCATTTAAAGGATTAATGTTTGAGTTATAAATAGAAATCCATGTACTTTTCATATTTTCCTGCCACTGTTGATATTTACATGATGAACATTTAGGTAATATTATGTAGTCAACCCAAATTATTTTAAATGTGACAGAATTGACATCAATCAAAAGCCATGTTAAAGATATTAACACATTCATAACCAAGTATGCCTTCAAGCAAAGTGTCATTTGGACTTTTCTTAACTTTTTAATACAAATTTATTGTTCTTCAAATCTTGGCCCTGACTGTGGCTACACACACACACATACACATACACATAAATAAACATAAATACTTAAAAATAGAGAGACACTTAGAATAACTGTGCAGAATCACATTTATGAAATAAATTTAAGTCATTTATCAACTTTTAGGAAATAATGAATTTTTATAACACCTTTATTACCAAGATATATGAAAATGGTAGGAAAGATGGATAAATGTACCAAAGGATAACAAAGTTAATGTGGCTTTAAGTAGATTTTTATATAAAATGCATTTGAATAAATGGTTCCCCAGAACAGTGGCAGAGAAAATAGCATCCTTCACCCATCAACTTACGTTATAAAGGAGCAGGTTCAAAGTGCTGACAAATGTACCATTGTTCTCTCTTACAGAAATAGCAGCTGAGGACCTAAAATAGATTTAGGAGGGGAAAACACATTGATGGAATTTCAAACTAAAAGTTCCAGCTATACCTTAAGGTTAAATTTAAGGCAATAAAATTGTTAAGTAGGCCTGTCATATTTTTAAGTAAGGCCTGGTTGGAGTGGGTATATGGTTTAAATTACTAGAGATAGGTAATAAAACAGCAGGAATAGCCAAAAGTAAAGATAAACTGTCCCTTATATTTTTTTATTTATAAAAGCATCTTTACCCCCATTTTGCATTACCTATATGATACTTTTTGCAGAATTTGAATCTGATGCAAATATATTTTCATCAATTCAATTAGAAGTTTCATGAGATCAAGGATTTTTTATTTTTTTACTTTGTTCATTACTTGAACATGTCATGGTACATATTGATGTATAAAAAATACTTATTAAATAATTGAATGAATGTCCATGCACAGTGGAGCTCAGGTATGTTAGTGTGGAGATAGAGTGTGGGCAGAGTAAGACCTGCTTTTTTCTACACCTGTTTCTGTTAGACTCAAGGACTTTCTTGTCCTGTTTTCCATATTAAAAACTTGTTTTTGACCAAAATATTTAACATCATTATGCCATTAAAATCGGCTATGAATGTTTTTTATCTGATGCAAAATGTGTTCTTCACATTTCCTTATAACTAAGATTAAACAACTATATTTTTGTGATAGAAAACCCTGAATTGGAGAAGGAAGATTTTCTATAGAACACCCCATTTTGTCAAAGATACTTGACAAATTTTAATGCTTATTTTGTAACTAGAAGCCTGGTCCACAAATTCGCAATCTGGGACCCCTCAGGGGATGTTGGAGACCTAGTTTTGGCCTGATCCCGCACTGGTGCACTGGTTTTGGCAAAGAACCCCACTGGTGCACGATCGGGGCTGGGGAGGGATACAGGAGGTTGGCCAGCTGGGGAGAGACCATGGGAGGGCTCCAGGGTGTGTACTGCTCATCTCGCCTAGTCCTGATCAGCCAGACCCCAGCAGCAAGCTAACCTACTGGTTGGAGCATCTGCCCCTGGTGGTCAGTGCACTTCATAGCAAGCAGTTGAGTGGTCTTGGCATATCATTAGCATATTACACTTTGATTGGTTGAACAGATGACCAGATGGCCAGTCACTTAGCACATTAGGCTTTATTATATAGTATGTGGATATAACCCTGTCTTGAAATATGTGTTTTTGGAAAAATGAATGATACATAACTATAAACAAAGGCTATGAAATCAGTCTATGGCTGGAGCTCTTTGGCTCTGGGCCATGCCACCTTTCTTTGCCAATCATCAGCATCTGGGCAGTTGACACCTCAGATTCTGAGACAGCAGAATACAAGCATGAGTACATGGCAATGACTGAAGGCATACAAACCCAACAAGGTAGTCACTGAATATTCTACACACTGGAAATATGACAGGTCCTTCTGGACTGCACAAGCACCTAAAGTTCTTGGGCTATTTTGAAGGATGCAAAGAGAACCCGAGGCAGACACCTGATTAGTTTGAGGTGTAATTTGGAGGGAAATATATATAATAAGTATATAAAATATAACATATATTTTATCTCTTGAGCTTTTGATACTTGATATGTACCATAACAATTTAGATAGATGGTAGATAGATAAGGCCTAATAGGGTTGCCATTACATTAGTTTTGCTACTCTCAACAAATTCTTCTAAGTAAATTCTTATAAATCTTTATAATTCCTTTAAGGATAAGAAATGACTCAAACATAAAGGCAATATGAGACACCAAGAATAAAATGCAACTTACGAAGCAAGCTGTGTATTATTAACCAGGTATTCCAATGGATAACTACAACTAAATTTGTAAAGAAGCCCAGGTAGATAGCTGATGATTGTTGGTGGATCTGGAGTATCAATGTATCCTGAAATATTTCCTATTTGTACTGAAGTTGTGTTTCCATAAGCACTGGCTCCAGGGACTGTGGATACCTGTTGGGATGGTAAATAGCTATAAATCACAGCATTTTATATGCAAAATAAAACATTAGACCAGATCATTACTAGGGTCTCTTTCAACTATAACATATCATGATTGGAAATTAAACAAACATAATGCTATCTTGAAGTAATTATATGTGTATGAAATAAATGAAACTATATTTACCAAAGGCAGTTCATAAATAAAAAAGAGATTATATGTTCATAGTGCTACAATAAGCAACTGAAGATGTTGAAAATTTTCATGACAATTCCAAATTCTGTGGCATGGTTTAAGATTCCTATTAATCTGATCTTGTTTTCCACTTTACCTTCATATCTCCAGGTTCCCACTCTTGGTTAATAATACTGCCCCAGACCCATTGGGCCTTATTGCTCAGGGCTTTGTGCGGACCCCTCCGCCTCCTCTTTCCCCACTTCACCATGACATATGCTACTCCTGCCTTGCATCTCATCTTCCTTAGGAAACTTCTGACACCCTCCTGCCCCTGAACATGCAATGTCTATCTCCATCATAGGAGTGGCCACAGTGCATGAGCAGCCTCCTGACTTGGCAGTCTGCTCAGCCAGAGTCACACACCCTTGTTCACCTTCATATCTTCAGTATAGCCCAGTGAGGCCAGCATCTTGGGATCCCAAGATAAATTCTAAATAAATGATTTAAGGTCACAAATGTTCTGAGAGTCGATCTTCTCAGCCAGTCTTCCTCTGTGGTACATACAGATTCTATAATATCTCCTTCCAAGGACAATAGTTCATACATGGGTTTCAGGGGGATCATGAACTCCCAAAAGTATAGTCCATGTGTGTATTTTCCTGGGACTGATTTGCTTTCACTGTACTTTCCAATCCCACTAAAATTTAAGAACTACCATACCATATTAAGAATAATCATAATAAGGTAATGCTCTTGACCTTCATAATATCATAGAGGAATGCAGCCTCTTTCACTATGTCAAATACCTATATGACACTCAATAAATATTTGTGGCAGATATTATGGAAACCTGTAGTAGTTAATTTTGGATGACAGAATAAACTTTAGATATATATGAACCTAGGAGCACATGGCCAAAGCTAATGTGCTCATAATTCATGAACAGAGCCAGATCATTATGAACACTTTGATTCAAATTCAAGTAATTACTAGTCTACTTAATTTTTTCCATGAAGGATTATCCTTGGAATAGACTCCAATGCTGGTGACATCAAAGACAAAATCAGAAAACAAGAAGATTTTCCTCTTCTCTCACCACTTATCTGACCCCTCGCTAAGCATACCAGTTCTGTCTGTGAAATACACAGACACGTGCTTTGCCTGGAATTTCACCTGAATTGTTTTCTAGGAACCAGGGCAAGACTAATCCAGAAAAGAAAGCTTAGTGAAGGAAAGCCTTGGGGTGTGGCCCCTTAGGCCACTTCATAACCTCTCTGCACACAACTCAGAGAGATGAATAAATGTTTTTAATAAAGAGTCAACAATACTCAAGCTGTGGGGTTGGGATGGTCATGGTCACAATATTTTAACCAACCCCTGGGAGGAGATAAAAAAGTCTCTTTTTCCTATCGTTCTCTCTCACCAAGTCTAAGAAACTCTGCCCTTAGAATAAGCAAGCCTCCCCCATAATCCCAAACAATAATGTATGAAGAGGAAAAGCCAATTTCTCTTTCTTCACTAGGCTAAGTGACCTTGCTCATCATAGTTCATTTTTGTCTTTGCTAGGATTTATCAATAATATTGTATTTAAGTAAGCAAAATGAAAAAAAAAATAACAGTACAAAATGAATCTCAGTGTAACTCCCCAGATCATAACATTTTTACTTCAATTAATTTTAATTCCCAGGAGAGCCAATGGTTTATTCAATTCTATTTTTGGTGTTCAATGCATGAATAAGTAAAGGGACAGCATAGACTCATACTAGTAGTTCTTATTCTGGGTGGAGATATTTGAAGTGATGTTTTGATATTCTCAGTGACTAGAAAGAGTGCTACTGGGATTTCATGGGTAAGATTGGGAATGATAAGCATTAGGAAATTCAAAGGACAGCCTCACACAATGGAGAATTTCACACTGGATATGCTGACAGCCCTCTTTTACAAAACATTGGTGTGAATTATTCAATGTTAAACAAAACAAAACAACAAAAAAACCTAGACAATTCTAAAAATTCCCTTCTACCCTTATCTTTCTTTCTGAATGAGGTCACTAAGAAGCAATAGGCCAAGGGATTCATTGCCAAATGCACTGGAACAAATAATTTCTGTATGATAAGATACTTCCATAAAAAGCATGAGGAATGTAGCTAATGACAGACTGGAGAGAAATATTCATCAATGTCATTCACACAAAATAATGTTGCTCAGAGTAGCACAGCCCCTCTCAGGTCCCTCAACTGCCCAGCTACAATAAAGAAAACTATTTTTGAAAAAATAAAATTGTATGTTTGGGAGCAGACACTTCAAGCAGGCAAAGGAAAGTGATTTGTTCAGTTTTATTGGAATTTTCTCTTGAAAGATAGATTGAACTTCTGGTTATTTCATGGAATTGGATTTTTTTTTTTTTCAGTTATGACCTCAAACCCAGCACACTATTTTACACGAATCTTACCACTAAGTTATTGCCACAGCCCTCCAAGGTGCTGAGATTGATGATGAAAATAACCACAGCAGGAAAGGTGTTGTTATTGATGAACCCCCTGCAGTGGGAATCCCCATGCCTTCCATTCAGGGCAAGATCTGTTTCAGAATAACCGGAGAAAAGTACTGTGCAAAAATTAATCTTCATTGTAATGGCCTGCACCCCACAGTAGACACTGATGTCTCTTTCAGCTGAAATAAAAATACATAAAAAAACAAATATAAGTCATAAAAGCACAGTAGAGGATACAAGAATGACTCTAATATCCCCTGACATATTTATTTGCCCTCTCAATCTGTTCAACTCATTCCTGTATTTGAATACACCATAATCCAAAGTGAAAGGTATAGAAGAAAAGGAGCCAGGAAAAACAATATTTGATTTAGTTATTCAGGAAGTGATCTTTAGGTATAGGGATTAGTTTATCTCTGTTTACCTCATAGGGATATGTGTTAAATGTTGGCTGGGTGTTATCAAATGATTAGAGAATTTAGTGGGGGGGAAATCAGATTTCTGAGGAAATTCAGAACTAAAGTAACTGAATTATTCAGATCTCCTGTCTAGAGTAGTAAGGCTCACCACATGATGAATGTTCCCATCATAAGGAAAAAACAGTTAAAATCCATCCTAAGCCAAAATTGTTGAGCACTTTGATATTTAGTAACCTATCTTACCCAGGATGTAGAAACAAAAGCCATTCATTAGAATACCATTTTGTTACCTATATTAAATTCCAATAGAGAAAGAAAATGAAAAATAGTATTCTGGTATGGCAAAAATATGCATAGACTAGTCAAAGAAAAGTTTGCCAATCACTATGCCTCAATAAAAGGAACTAGGTATAGAAATGTTAAACACAATTTGCACAGTTTCCATGACTGTGGGGTTAGCAAGTGATGGGATCCATTCTAGGTTTGTAGAGGTATACACACACACACACACACACACACATACACACACACACACACACACACACACAAGCTTTTAATATCTCTTTTTTGTTATTTTTCTACATGTAATGAAGAAATATGTGTAGAAAGTGAAGAGGTGTCCTGCGAGGTAACTTGCCAGAGGCAAAGGCATTTACTTTTATTGGTTTTGGTAACTGTTAAAAGTTGAATTGAGCCCTCCATCCAGGAAAAAAAAAAAAAAAAAAAAAAAAAAAGGTACAATGATGCCCTAAGCCCCAGTACCTCAGATTGTGACCTTATTTGGAAAGGGGGTTATTCAAATACAAGTAGGTTAGTTGAGGTCAAACTGGAGTAGTGAGGTCTCTAATCCAATATGACTGGTGTCCTAAGGAATGCCACGTGAAGGCACAGAAACCCAGAGGGAACATCACGTGAAGAGAGAGAATTGGCTTCTATAAGCCAAGGAGTGCCAAAGATATTGCCAGCAAACCATCGCCAGAAGCTAGGAAGAGGAAAGGAAGGACTATATTCAGAGCCTCAGAAGAAGCATAGCTATGCTGACACCTTGATTTTGGACTTCTGACTTCCAGAATTGTGAAAAAATACATTTCCAATGTTTTAATGACCCCGCTTGTCACATTTCATTATGGCAGCTCTAGGAAACTAATGCAGTAACCTTGCCGGGTTTTTACACTCTGTTTTACCACTTTGATAAAGAATGCAAAGCATTCATCAGGTTTCCATACTGCGATCACAAACAAAATCAGAGTAGACTATGTAGAGAAATGTGATTGTTCAAAAAAAAAAATACAAGCAAATTAAAATATATTTTTAAAATATATTTTATTGATTTTGTACAGAGAGGAAGGGAGAGAGATAGAGAGTTAGAAACATCAATGAGAGAGAGTCATCGATCAGCTGCCTCTTGCACACCCCTACTGGGGATATGCCCACAACCAAGGTACATGCCCTTGACCGGAATCGAACCCGGGACCCTTTAGTCCCCAAGCTCATGCTCTATCCATTGAGCCAAACCGGTCTTGGCAGCAAATTAAAAATATTTTTGTTAAATGATAGGATGTTCACCTAAGAAAAAGTAAATGTTATTCAGGGGTTTTTGGCATAGAATTATTTTCCTTAAATACTTCAATTCTAATATAGGGGTAGAGGTATTCAATGGCATATTCATTTGGAGTATTTAACCTCTATTCATTTTTATTTTATTTTTTGCTGGCAAAGTGAATTGTATTTTGAGTATCTGAATAAGTCAATATGGAAATACCTATGCTTAATAATAATTTTAAACTCTTTACAAAACAAATAAAATTTTTTTTTTCATGACCAAAAGGCAACATTCAGGTAGTTATTATGGAAAATTCCAAGCAATATTTCCCTTGTAGATAGAAAAAGAAAGTTAATTCATTATGAAGTATACTTTATTAACATAGAAAATAATAATTACAACTTCCAGTTGAGACAGCATCTCTATGAGCCTTCAGCAACATTAACTGTTTAAATGTCAACATGGTTTTTAAGTGATGCTCTTTACTAAAAGAGTAGAATTAAATTTAATAAAGGTTTAGTGAGTGCCTACTTACTTCAAAATATATCTTCAATCTATTGATATTTCTCCATCCTCATAATATTCCTTGGCCCTTGCTACCATTCTGGAATACTACATTAACTCCCTAGCTAATCCCTTTATTTCCATTCTTAATCCCTCTCATTAACACAGCCATTAATACATGAATCCAATCATCTCACCTCTTTGCTCACATCTTCCATAGCTTACTCACTTGGGTCAAAAGGCCACATCTTGAACCTGGTCGTCAAGCCTCTCTGTGATCTTATGCTCTGCCGCCCACCTGCCTCTGCATTCCCGCTCTTTACTATCCCCCTTGCTCCCTACATGCGTTTCACTGAACTTCTCTCAGTTCTTTAAAAGCATTACTAAGAGTGATAGAAGTCAGAAGAGTGGTTACATTCTGGAGTGGAGCAGCCTAGAATAGAAGAAACAAGAAAAAAATTAAGGAGTAACGAAAATGTTCTCTATCTTAATCTGGGTAGTGATTGCATTCTGGGTAATGATTGCATGAGCATATGTTCATGTTAAAATTTCAAGATGTTCCCTGAGAACTGTATAGTATTGTATGTGAAGTATTCTTTGATAACCTACATCAAGCCTTGTTAAAGCCCTAATAAAGGTTTTCTACACAAGTTCTTCAGTATATGCTCTTTCATCTGCTTGGGATTCTCCTCCCACCCCCCAGCCTTTGTCTAAGAAACTCCTATTTTTCCTTCAGGTCTCAGATTTCATTGTCCTTTTCCCAAAGACATCCATGATTTCCAATCTAATTTATTCCACTCTGTTGTAAGCTGTTCTATTGCCTTAAAATCATATATGTATTGTATATTCCTCTTTTCATTAAAGTGAAAGTCCTGGAAAGCAGGAAGCTATGATATTCATCAATGTGCTCCAGTGAGTGTTCAATGAATTAATTAATCAATTACATACAGTGCTGGAGCCACAGACTGCACCGAGGATTTACAAAGCAGTGGCCCTTGTTGTCAAGTGGATCACAGTCCATAAGGCGAGATAGATGTGGCCCACAGTATCAGAAGGACTGGGCAGAGAGGTGGAGTGGCATGGGAAGTGAGCCTCACCCAGACCCACGGGTTAGAAGTGGCCTCTTAGAGAAGATGGCATTGAGCTGAATTTTGATGTATCAACAGGAGTTAGCTGCACAGAGTGAAAAATGTGTAAAATGGAGTGGGCAGTGTAAATAATGACACACGTGTGCAATAGGCTCTAGTTGGAGCTGGAGAGTTCAGTTTTCATTAGGATTTAAAGTGCAAAGGAAGAAATGGCAGGGAATGAGAGCAAGTGGTAAACATGCAGGCAAGATCACCGGAAACCTTTCTATAGAAAACCATCTCTGTAAAATAATGCAATGTCTACCTGAATGTCACATCAAATTCTCAGTTATTAGAGGGTTCACTAGGAGCTCTGTATGTCCAGGGAAATAGAGAGCAAGCATCATTGCATTATTTGGCATGTCATAAATGTGTCGAAGTGAATACATATCATTAAATGTTACAAAAGAGAAATATCATTCTTCTTAGCTTAAACCAACTGAAGACTTGAGTTTTATCACCTTTACTTCAGAGGAATTCATTGATGTTTACAATAGCTTTACAAATGGTGGTGATTACTTTGTCCAGATGTAGAGCTTTTCTGCTTTATCACTGAAGAGGTGTAGCCCCTGCAATGGAACTGAAATTGCTACAGGCTGATCCCACTTGGAGATATGACAACAAACTAAAGGCTTTTTGCAGTGGAAGAAAAGAGAACTGTTCAAATCCATCCTAACCCAGTTTTCTAAAGACTTTTCACTGCCTCTTCCAAGGAACACATTTTTTTTTTTTTTCTGATTGTAGATACTAAAGATATCCATTCAGCACCATATGTCCATTTGTGAGGCTCTGGGGGCGGGGGCGGGGGAGTTACTTCAAGCCGCCAATGGTCAATTTCTGACAAAGGCAGGTAAATTTTTTTTGAGATACTAAATATCAGATGCTCTCAATAATTAAATGTTTTGAGCTTTTTTATTGTTCAATCCCTGGCCTGTATTGTGACACCCCTTGGGACAATACTTGATTATTAAACAACCCATTATTAAACAACAACAAAAATCATTGAATAAATGCTTTTAGATGTTGAATTTTTAGTGCTTTGTGTTTAAAGATACCAAGTATGTCTAAGATGGCAAGCCTCCTTACACAATTTATGTGCCATTATGTTGCCAAATGGCATTTTTCCCTTGATACTTTATCCAAGCCAACCTTTTCATAGAAATTTTAAAAATACAGTATTTTATTGAATTCAGGTTAGAGAAATGTTCTGCACCTCTTTCACCTATGAATCAGGCAATGAATTTGTTTCAGATTTTTAAAAAATTATTATATTTTAAATATATTTCACACTGTCAACCATTTATCTATATATAAAAAGGTGTTCTGATTAGGGGTTCATAGAATATGGTTGCCATGTAAATGGGAGTCAAGAGGAGATGGATCTAATTCTTGGAGAAAAAAAGAGGGGACACCTATAATACTCTCAACAATAAAGATTTTTTTTAAAATATCGCTTTACTTCTTTATTCACAATAAAGTTCCATTCTTAGAACACCTAATTATACTTTTCCTTTTAGACATAATTAATAATTACTGACAATATATTTGCAGCATATCATTCACATATCTAATAAGTATATCTAACT